CCATAGTCTCAGTGGTTCTACCAGGCTCTATCAGACGAGCAAACCTGGGCCCCCCTTTTTTTTTTTTTTTCCCCCAAACGATTTTGAGTCTTGTTCCACATTGTTCTCGCTCTCTATCCAGAATCTCCTACATAGATCCCCCTCTGAGTGGTTGACAGTGGTAGCCGAGCACCATCTTGTTCTTCTGGTCTCATAGTCGTACAGGCTGCGGATCATATGGTGTACTAGTCCCTTGGACTAATTGTTTCCATGCATCTTTGGTTTTCTTCATTCTTCTTTGCTGTGGATGAGCAGAGACCCATTGTTTCATCTAGATGGTTGCTTGCAAGTTTTTAAGATCCCAGTCACAACTTGCCAAAGTGGGAGGTGGAACAATGTTTTGTGTAGTGTGTTTTGCCAATTGAGCTTGATGTCCCCTGCGCTAGTCATTTTTGTGATTTTGGATTTTGTTCCACAGTTTTCTTCCCACTCTATCCAGGATCTCCAATTTTGATCCCTTTCTGAGTCGTTGTCATTGGTAGCTGAGTATCATCTATTTCTTCTGGTCTTGGGGTCCATCTTACCCTTGTACTAATTGTTTCCTGATGACTTTGATTTTCTTCACTCTTCTTTGACTCAGATGAAAGGAGACCAATAATTGCGTCTTAGATGGACACTCAAAAGCTTTTAAGACCCTAGTCGCTACTCACCAAAGTAGGTTGTAGAACAAGATTTTTATGTACTATATTGTGCCAATTAAGCATGATGTCCCCCAAGACTACAGTCCCAAGTTGGCCAGCCCAGTGATTCTCTCTCTCAAGGTATTTGGTTGTCTGTGATAAGTTATTCGAACTCTGCCTTCTGTTGCTTCTGTAATGTATGTGACTAATTTTGTACCACAAGTGCATATATAAGATTATCTTCAGCCAAATCTATCCTTGGTCTAGGGTATATTCCTGTTCGCCTACCCCTACCTGATATTCTTACCTGTCTATGCATTTATCTGTAGCCTGGTGTTTCGTGTTAGTGGTAATGCAGTATTGTGCACGTTCTAGTATTTGCCTCTGTTGTCTATATCTTATGTGCACATTTCAGTGTCCGTCTTTTCCCCAATGTCATCATGCTGGTCATAGACTCTCCATACCCTACCTCCCTTTACCCAGATCAACATATGACCCTCAACTAGTCCAAAATTTTCCCTCTACTTCCCTCCCATCTCTAGTAACTAACAAAGTGAATTTCCTTCCCTAAGTAAGTAAACCTTCCTTTGACTTTTTACAATAATGGGCTCATATAATACTTATTCTGCGATTAACTTATTTCACTCAGCATAATGTCCTCCAATTCACCCACATTGTGAGATGATTCATTTATTTGTCATTATTCTTTAATGTTGCATAGTATTCCATTGTGTGAATGTACCATAGTTTGGTTATCCATTCATCTGTTGATGGGCATTTAGGTTGTGTCCATCTTTTTGCTATAGTGAATTGTGCTGCAGTGAACATGGGTGTGCATATATCTGTTTGTGTCCTATCTCTCACCTCTTTAGCATATATTCCTAGTAATAGAATTGCTGAATCAAATGATATTTATATTTTCAGTTTTTTAAGAAAGCACCATACTATTTTCCATAATGATTGTATCATTTTGCAGTCCCACCAGTAATGTGTGAGAGTTCCAATCTGTTTGCAACCTCGCCAACATTTGTTATTTTCTGTCTTGTTGAACTTTGCTATTATTGCTGGGGTTAGATGATATCTCATTGTTCTTTTGATTTGCATCACACTAATGGCTAATGATTGTGAGCATTTCCTCGTGTGTTTGTTGGTTACCTGTATATCTTTAGTGAAGTCTGTTCATTTCCCTTGTCCATTTTTGAATTGAGTTGTTTGTCTTTTTTGGCATTGAGATGTTGAAGTTTTATATAAATTTTGGAGGTAAGTCCGTTGTCAGATATGTTGTAGCCAAATATTTCCCCAATCTGTAGGTTGTCTTTTTACCCTTTAAGAGAAGTTTTTTGGTGTAGATAAGAATTTACTTTTTAAAAGGTCCCAGTCATCTAGCTTCTCTTCCGCTGCCTGTGTATTTTGGGTTATGCTTGATAGTCTATTTAAGCTGTAAATTTGGGCCCCTAGCTTTGCCCTTGTTTTATCTTTGATTAGTTTTATAGTTTTGGATTTTACATTTAAGTCTTTGATCCAGCTTGAATTCATTTTTGTGTGTGGGGAGTGATATGGGTCTTGTTTCATTTTTTTGCAAGTGGATATCCAGTTTGGGAGCACTACTTAAAGAGGTTATCTCTCTCCCATTTAATGGGTTTTGGTCCTTTGTCAAAGATCAGCTGTCCATAAATGGATAGGTCCGTTTCTGGGTTTTGATTCTATTCTATTGGTCTTTCTGCCTATCATTGTACCAATACCATGCTGTTTTGACTACTGTGGCTGTATAGTGTAGTAGGTTTTGAGATCTGGGAGTATGAGACCTCCTGCTTTGTTTTTCTTCTTCAGCAGTGCTTTGCTTATCCGAAGAATCTTTCCTTTCCTTATGAAATTAGTCATTGCTTTTTCTATGTCCTTAAAAAATGTTGATGGTATCTGGATTGGGATTGCATTGAATGTGTAGATTGCTTTGGGTAGTATTGACATTTTCACAATATTCATTCTTTCTGTCCATGAACAAGGCAGGTTCTTCCATTTATGTAGATACCTTGTAGTTTATTGTAGTAGTGTTTTACAGTTTTCTTTGTATAGGTCTTTTGTGTCTCTGGTAAGATTTGTTCCTAAATAGTTTATCTTTTCGGTAGCTGTTGCAAAGGGTATTGTTTTCCTTATTCCTTTTCAGAAAAACCAAACTCACTGCCATCAAGTTGGATTTGACTCATAGGGACCCCTCCTTGGGTTTCTGAAGTAGATTGCCCAACCTTCCTTCCAAGGCGTGGCTGATGGGTTTGAACCGCCAGCCTTCTGTTTAACAGTCAGATGCCTTAGGCACTATGCCACCAGAGCTCCTATTTCCTTTTCAGAGGCCTCTTTGTTGATGTAGAGGAATCCACCTGATTTTTTTTATGTTGACCTTGTATCCTGCTGCTTTGCTGAACCTTTCTGTTTGTTCCAGTAATTTATTTGCAGAGTCTCTTGGGTTTTCTATGTATAGGATCATGTCATGTGCAAACAAAGATAGCTTTACTTCTCCTTTGTCCATTTGGATGCCTTTTATCTCTTTCTTGCCTTATTTTCCTGGCTAGGACTTCCAATACAATGTTAAATAGAAGTGGTGATAGAGGGCATCCTTGACTGGTTCCCTTTCGCAAAGGGAATGCTTTGAGTCTTTCTCCATTAACAATAATTTTGGCTGTTGGCTTTGCATATATGTCTTTTATTATGTCGAAGATTTCCCTTCTGTCGCTATTTTGCTGAGAGTTTTGAACAGGAATGGGTGTGGGATTTTGTTGTATGCCTTTTCTGAGTAGATTGATTGATACGATCATATGATTCTTTTATGTGGTGGATTACATGGATTGATTTTCTGACATTGAACCATTCTTGTATACCTGGTATGAATCCCACTTGGTTGTGATGTATTATTTTCTTGATATGTTGTTAGATTGTGTTGGCTAGGATTTTGTTGAAGATTTTTGCCTCTGTATTCATGTGAGATACTGGTCTTTAGTGTTCCTATTTAGTGGTGTCTTTTCCTGGTTTTGATATCAGTGTTACGTTTGCTTCATAGAATGAATTTGGGGGTATTCCATCTTTTTCTATGTTCTGGAATAGTTTGAGTAGTATAGGTGTCAGGTCTTCCCTGAATGTTTGGGAAAATTCTTCAGGGATGCTATCTGGGCAAGGGCTTTTTTGTGTGGGAATTTTTTTTTTATGACTTTCTCAATTTCTTCTTTTGTTTTGGGTCTGTTCAAGTATTCTATCTCCAACTGGGATAATTTAGGTAGGTTTTGTGTTTCTAGCAGGTTGTCCATCTCTTCTGGGTTCTGAAATCTATTGGAGTACAGATCTTCATAATACTGTTATTTTTTATTTCAGTTGGTTCTGTTGTGATGTCACCCTTTTGTTTATTATTTGTATTATTTGCATCTTCTTGTTTTTTCCTTTGTTAAATTTGCCAGTG